GACGAATTATCCAAACTTGTCGATCAAGAACGCGACAATCGGCGCATTGCTCCTATGAAAGAGGTCTTCACAAAATTTAAGACTTTGTCCAAGCTCGACGACGAAAAACCTCAGCCTTACGACCCCTACTGGTACAATAGCTCAGCTAACTATTGGGAACTCGCGCGTGTGACGTGTGACCCCAACACTCCGTCACGCAATGTTCAACAAGTCTCAGACTTTAAGGCTCCTGTTGAATATCCCTCAAATTGGAACCCCGAGTACGCTTATAAAGGTTATGTCAAAAACTGGACTGCTGCTCAGGACCCTTGTTTGCAACCACATCTGCGCCAAATGCACGGGAGCTTTGTTGCGCCTCTCAGTTTGTCTACTTCTACCGAATTGATTCCATTGTTTGGCGGATCCAAGCTTCCCATGAACAACGAGATCCTTATCCCTGGCGCCATGTACCTTACTGCCGACGAATTCTACTCTGGGGGGGAGAAGATGGGTCCAGCATGGCACGCCAAGAAAACCGGCGTTGTTTGGAGAGGTGATGCTTCTGGTGGTGAGCCGAGAGCTGATGTTTGGCATCGTTTCCATCGTCACCGTCTTATCCAGATGCTGAATGGCTCATATGTTGACAGTGTTGAGCGTCAAGGCGTCAAGCCCAAGACATTTCAACTGCCAACTCCTGATCATTACAACAGCACCCATCGCGCCTCCAACACTATTGGTCAATGGTTGATGCAGATCTCTGATTGCGGGTTTAAGCGTCTTCTGTGTGAAAAAGTTGGCTGTGATCCCGTCGCTCCTTATTATCGCGAATTGAAGCATATGACCATGAAGGAGCAGTACCGCTACAAATTTTTGCCTGATACCGACGGCAATTCATTCAGCGCCCGTTTTCGTGGCTTCTTACGTTCCTCGAGCATGCCTCTCAAGGCTACTATCTATGCTGAATGGCATGACGACCGCCTTACTCCATGGGTTCACTTTGTACCCTTCGATAACACTTTCCAGGACCTTTACCCCATCCTCGAATTCTTTACAGATGAAGAAGCCGGCGGAGATACCGCCGCGCGATTTATTGCTGAGAGAGGAAGAGACTGGGCCAGCCAAGTCTTGCGTCGTGAAGATATGCGCCTGTACACTTGGCGTCTCTTGCTTGAGTGGGCTCGAGTCTGCGATGAAGACCGCGAGAAGCTTGGATTCATAAGAGACTTGATAGAGCCCAGAAAGGATTCAATACGGTAAACTGAGTTGAGTCTCGACAGCACATGTTTACAGCACACTGATCCACCACCAAACTGGATGGTTTAGGTGCTCACGTATATATTAATATTCACGGCCTGGCGTTCCGGAGTTGGATTGTTTCTCTTTGAGTGGCTGGATATCTGAGATAATGTGGATGGCATACAGGGCGTTCAAGACGCTTGACTGTCTAAAAACCGTTCTATACCTTGGGAGGTAAAACCATGTAACTGAGGCATACCCCAAAACAAATGATGTTGGATGAATGAAAGATAAGGACGAGATGGAATAGAAAGGGTCCTATAATTCTTAATTCTCGACTGTAGGAAGTTGGGCTAATCCACCCTAGATAATAAATATGATACCAAACCCTATCACAGAGACACATGCTTTGCCGAGTTTGTACAGTCTGGAACCAGATACAAGAGGCAGATGCCGGTCATAGTTTCACATCCTCATTACGATGTCAATATATTGTAGCAATGCCTCATTGCTACAACTCCATGCCACGCCCGTTATGAACCAACTCCAAAAGTCGCTCCCATATGATCATTTAACCTTGTACAAGACAACGGGATTCTTCACAGCTGTAGGTTGGTAACAGGTTCGCGGGCCGGTTGACCTTTGAGGTGTGCGGCAGAACCCTTGAAAAGGGACTGCCAAATGAAGGCTTCACTCAGGAGTAGCTCGATATCCTTCTCCGTCCAATCCTTAGTGGGAAGGCATTGGAGGAACATCATGATCTCCTGAAAGTCCATGCCCAGGAGCTTATCGGACCATTTCACGAGGAAGGCCGCACACACATATAGATGGAACTCGGAAAATCCTTGCTCTTCAGCCTGACAAGTAGTTAGTTTTTTGTTTTTTTTAGAGTTGCCAGCAGATAGGTGTTGACAAACCAAATAAGTGTCCCACATGCGAACTGTGTTTTTGACGCTGATCTCACGCATCAAGAGACAATTCATCCAACGGAAACTAAACTGTATGAATTCAATGCCTTCATTTTCCAAATGCTTGGACAGGTTGCTGTCTATACGTGCTGTTAAATCGCGGAGAGCAGCAACCTGGCGTTGAATCCCCGGTTGCGCCACGATATAGTGGTCCTGGATGCCATCGAGAAGCTTTGTCAGACACCAAAAGGAATCGGCCTCAACAGCGTCTAGCACAGACTTCGGGAGCTGCCCTGGGTCCATCCCAGACTCGATATCAGGATCTCCAATATAAATACCCAAGAAGACTTGCCAAAAAGGCGTTACAAGGTCGTTGATACCCTGCACATAGCCACTGGCAGGATGTCGTACAGCCCATACATAGAGAATGCGCTCAAGTGATCGCTGCGTAGCTTCGTAGCTGTATAGCTCAATATGCGGGTTTGTCCGGGGTACATCGATGCTGATTTGGTGCCAGATGGCCTCATCCAGACCCCTTGTTCGGCCAGCTGGGGCTGTGTTGGCTGCAGTGGTCACGGCGTTCCCTCCTCTCTCAAATGCCTGTCGTACACCATCCAAGTATTCCTTCCGTTTTCTCTCCAAGGTGGCGACCCGGCGCTCACTGTTCGCAGGAAGATAGCTGAGGAGGAGTTGCCAGGTAATGGCGCGCACCTCTTGTGGTACGCCAGACCAGGCGAGTGACCTCAAGTCAGGCAGTGAAATAGTGGAAGCTTGTAACAGCTTCTTGAACTTATTAATACGTGTAATTCGGGAGTTTATGGCATCGGCTTCCTTGGGAGTGGCATTGGCAGGAACCGTGGGATAGTTGATGAGATGCAGAGCGTTCGCGGGGTCTGATAGTCATCGTCAGTACTTTTGCGACAGCGCTTTGAAGTGTGATCAGCAAACCTTTTAAGATTTCTTTATATTGAGGCCGAAGAATCTTCCCCTCACTCTTTTTGGGCATGGGATATGTGGGCGCGGGTCGCTCTATTGCGATGTCGGCACTATTTGAGTATCGTCTCGCTGAGAGAGCATTCGGAGGCCCCTCTGTTGTCGGTGATAATGTACTTGATTCGGCCTTGTTCTGTGTGGCAATGCGCCGTGTTCTCCTCTTCATACTCGACAAACTTGGCAAGCCAAAGTCATCCCCATCATCATCCTCGTAGCCCATCATGTCGTCCTCGTCTGCTTTCCAGTCATCGTTGGTATTGGAGAGAAAGTTGATATAGCTCTTGTATGGAGGTGAGCCATTCTTTCCAGGCGTGGTCTTCGGCGGTGGAGAAGCTTCTTGAATCCGGATCTTAGCTGAAGAAGAAGAAGGAGGTGTTCGTGGTCGAGACGAGTTGGAGAGGTTTCTGGCAATTGACATCAGCAAACAAGAACTAAGCATTGAGCAGGGTCAAGCCAACGAACAAAGAGTCAAACTTGAGCATGTCCGCATGCGAATACGAGGCACCAACAACAAGCCCTGAGCCATGGCCTGTGGGCGATGTGATGTTTCTCTTTGGAGTAGAGCTGTCTCGTGGTGGCGGTCTCCAAAATGGTGATACGGACCTAGTTGTATAAGCTTCAGCGCACAAGCTTGGGGGGATGGAACTCCATATCAGCGAATACATACTCTGATCGGTCTGCCTCAAGCAATCGAGCTTATATCAGCAAGTATTCAACATCTCACGACTCCTAGCTGAACGTACCGACTTGGACCATCTCCTGCGGCGGTGGGGCTGTTAGCAGAGGCGGGCACCATTACGTCGAGTCTCGTGCGTACAGAGCAGAGAGCTTCGACACTGATAGTCATGACTTACAGATTGCGCGGGCTTCTTGCCGCTCCCAGATGACGACCACATGGTTCGCTGAAGAGAAAAAAAGGCCGTGGACAAGAGCCTTGGAAGGTATTTCACATGCTGCGATGTAACGCGACGCAATGATGTTGTGAAGTGCAAGAAAGTCAGTAGGTTTGGGTTGGTTGACCTATTCTACTATGGATCGATCAAACATAATGGAAACGGGCTTAATTAGGCTGCCCTGGCTCAACCACGAGATCACCCCGCAAACAGCACTACATGGCTTGGAAATAGCGGGTTCGGACGGGTTGATAGCGGGGGTGTCCGCTACTTGAGGACTGTGCCTTAACGCTGTGGCCTGAGCTCAGCTGCCCGGCTACGGGGCGGATTTCTCGCCCAACAGGCGGTACCTACGACCTAGCCTTGGTACGGAGTACGAATACTTCGTACAGCCCAGAGCAATTCACCAACGAGCGCATGTGGTTCGAGCCAGATTAACAAAACTTACATTTCCATGGATGTAATACCCAAGGAACAAGGTAGGCTTCTTAACAATGGAGCTTGGAGAGTATGTAGAGGGGAATTTAGGGGTTGTAACAGAGAAGCATGCAATTGTAAGGGCAAGATGCTCTCAAATGGTAGGCAAGAGTTCGATTTTGAATACCATCTTCAAGATCATTACCTATCTTCCAGATCTCAGTGATCCATATTAGCATTCGAGACTCGGGTTCTCGTTTGTTTGTAACTATTGGCGCTGATATTTGATTGGTTCACTTTTGGCTTAGTCAGTAAAGTCAGTTGGGCTTTAGCTCCGCGGCTCGATAGCCTAGCACCTTTCTTCACCTTCATGGTTCAGTCGCCTCCTCGCCCTTTTCTTTGACTCTTGGTTCGACTTAGTTCTCAGTATCAATTGCGCATCTGCTCTCACCTGCCCCTGTTCACCCATTACAGCTTTTTAGTGTCGAGTGCGCGAAACCCGTCGGTGGCTTATTTCGCGCTCCCTCAACTTTCGAACTTGTTATCAGGAACGCGCCAAACCTCAACTGTCGCCATGACTGAGCCCGAGAACTTCGAGGATGATCTCTTCGCCGACCTGTAAGTATCCATCGCAATATAAGCCGCGAGCATAAACACTATATGCGTCTACCTGGGATACTGACTCTTAGACAGCTACGACGACAACGATGCCGCAAAGCCAGCGTCTGCTCCCCCTGCAGCAGCCCCCCCTGCCCCAGAAGTTCAGCCTCCTACTAACATTCACAACAACGACAATGATGACCAGAATGGGATGCAACAACATGAAGAAACTGGAGGCGATGAACACATGGCTCAAGATCAAGATGAAGACGATGATGATGTCGACTTCAATCTCGGTGGAGGAGGAGGATACGGCGGATCTGGTCACACAGGCCAGACTGATATGCATGACGATGCTCCGACACCTCCATACGGAACTGTACACAAGGCGAGTGCCAAAGAAGATGGGTAAGTCTACACTGTTTCTGCATTGTGATTACATTTCTTGAATCCGCTTTTGCGAGAATATCATGGTTCGCCTTGCGTGTTTACAACCCTGAATCCTCATGGCAACTGCCACGTTGCCACGTAGTAGTGGCCATCGGCTTAGCATTTGCATACATTTCGGAAGTTGGCTTGGCTAGAGAGGGTCGTGGTCAAATTAAGGAAAAGAGGTTTTGCTATCAGAGACATCAAACGGCAAAGATTCAGATTGGAAGAGTTACCATTACTCATTCAAGAGGATATGTGGATCAAGAGATATAACCAGTTTGAGGCGAGTCCGCTGCTATTGTCTATGGGCTATGAGAGGAAGAGGAGGATGTCACAATCGGTACTGGGACACGCCCTGTGGACGGACATCCTAGGATGAATCATTCGGCACTAGTCCAGGCGAAAGACACTACTACTTGAGTCTTCCATAGCCCTCAGTCGCAGAGATCTTATTGAACCGACGGGAGTGGTAAACACTCTCGAGTGCTATAGCGAGATTCGCAGCGAATAGCGCTCGAGGCCAGTACCTAGCATGAGACAGAGACAGAGAGAACAGTCAAGACGATAGCACAAGACGAAATTTTATTCGACCAAGCTGATCTGGCATCTCTCATTGCAATGTCTGCGCCATACTTTCGACTGTCATGGCCGTTTGGTCAACGTTTGTCAGCCATGGTCCTTGTTATGTTGGCCTTGATGCATCCACACGCAGGGATCTTACAGAAATTGCCGCCAACATCAAGCAAGCCGAAGAAACGGGAACTTCAGATCAATCGACCTCCCGTTGGGCTGTACCCTTCTCTGCATGCACCCATATTGCCCTGCACGACCCATTTTTTCAAGGATACAAACTCCTTTATCACATTGCAATCACCAAACCGCAGCCATCTGTTTTTATGCTGTATCAGGCATTCAAGTCTCGATCGCCGATTCTTTTCTCTAAGCCAGGGTTAAGCTTTCAGCAAACTATTGATTATTCGCAAACCCTCAGCTCTTTCTAAGCAAGCCACTTCGCCATGAACCTGGGTCCTGTTGTTCTACCAAGCCTAGGAGACCCGTGTTTAACAGCGTTGATATTCAGGATGCATAAACAACTCTAAAATGAAAGTATACTGACATGTTTGTGTAGTAAAATGTTCATCGGCGGTCTCAACTGGGAAACCACCGATCGTAAGTGTCAAACACACGCAGCTCTCCGAACTTGTACTAACGATTTCTGGTAGAATCATTGCGGGATTACTTCTCACAGTTTGGTGAAGTCGTTGAGTGCACAGTCATGAGAGACAGCAGTACCGGCCGGTCGCGAGGTTTTGGTTTTCTGACTTTTAAGGACGCCAAGACAGTCAATATCGTCATGGTCAAGGAGCATTTCCTTGATGGCAAGATCGTAAGTCATATGTCTTAACATGGCCAAACTCACCACTCTAATTGCGTTGCAGATCGACCCGAAACGTGCCATTCCCCGAGACGAACAAGAGAAGACTAGTAAGATCTTCGTCGGAGGCGTCAGTCAGGAAACCACCGATCAAGAATTCAAGGAATACTTTGCACAGTTCGGCCGCGTTGTAGATGCGACTCTTATGATGGACAAAGATACCGGTCGTCCACGAGGATTTGGGTTTGTGACGTTTGAAAATGAAGCCGGCGTTGATGCCTGTATCAACGTGCCACTAGAAATTCATGGAAAACCCATCGAGGTCAAGAAGGCCCAGCCTCGGGGTAACCTTCGAGAAGAGGAAGAGGCATCACGACGCGGCAAGTTCAGAAAGGATGGTGACCAGTCAAGCCAGGGCTCCATGGGCCAACAGATGGGCAACAACGGCATGACACCCCAAGTCATGGCCCAATACTTTCAACGTATGCAACAATACTTTGCTATGATGCAGTCACAAATGGCCATGAGCCGAGGAATGCCCATGAACCCAGCCATGTGGCAGAACATGATGCAGATGCAACAGATGCAACAACAGATGATGGGTCGAGGAGGTGGTGCCAATGCTCAGAACATGATGCAGAACATGAACCCACAGATGATGCAGCAGATGCAACAAATGCAGCAGCAGATGATGCAACAGCAGGGCCAGCAAGGTGGTCAAGATGCTGCTTCCGGTAGTGCTAGTCCCACTGCTTCTGCCAGCGGTGGCGGTGGTCGAGGATACGACAACAACAACTATAATCAGTACCAACAAGCTCAAGGAGGTCGTCGTGGAGGCCGTGGAGGCTACGGCGGGCATGGGGGACATGGAGGTTATGGTATGGCTGGAGGAGGGGGGGCCCCTACTTCATGGGAGGGCATGTACGACGATGTTCCTCAGCCAAACTCCAACCAAGGCTCAGGTGGCTTTAATCGTGCTGGCAGCGCCAGTGCGAACTCTGACCCGCAACACGCACCGCCCGCCAATGCGCCTACGGGACCCAAAAACGCCGGTAAACCTGGAGCTAATTATCGTGGTGGAGGACGGGGTGGAAACCGCGGCTTTCACCCTTACTCACGATAAAGACTCCTCATCAGATTTTGCTCGTAGCAAGAAGGGTTTGGAAGACTGTGGAACGCCTTCCGAATTCCGGCGAAGTGATGGGAAGGAGATGATGGTGTCAACCATGTATAATAATGCGGAACGGTGGTTCATTCCGCATATATTTTGTTTTTCTTTTTTCCCCCGGTATTTTGGTGTCATTGGGCGGCTTTCCAATGCGTTTGTTCATCAAAGATGCAGCCAGGTTTGGCTGATACAAGGGGCCCAAATAGGGGGGGTGGTCGATCTTGCAAGGGCACTGCAATAATTAGAAATCAAATAAGCCCAAAATTGGTCTATTGAGTCATATGTGTACACGCATTCGTTTTCGTAATGTTTACTGGCATAGATAGGCTCTGCCCGGCATGCGAAGGCGTTGGACATTGGTCATGAGACAGTCAAGACAAATACGTTCAGAAAATAAGGTAGCTTAGTAGGTACTAGATAGTGAAAGTGATATATGTGATAAATAGTTGAATGAAGCGCTATAAACCATGTCATTCTTCTTAAAACTTCCAGCCCTTTCATCCTGGCTTCGGTGCTACTACCGACGTCACACGTAATACATAGCAAAGTACAGTTTCTTTTTTTCTCTCTTCGTCTGTCAAGCATCATCACATCCAAGGACTCGTCTATCCCGGCGTATGCCCGGTAATTCCACAATGCCTGCTAATGCTTCCTTACGAAACAGATCACAAGGTGCGTCTGTAATAACGGCAACACTCGAGTTCTGTTAAATCGTCTATTTACTGGGCTGACAGGAAGAAGCAGTTGTCGCATCGCATGTTGAAGGCAAATTAATCCCACCAGCGCCAAACGACCCAGGTCTGTCCACTCTTGGGACTGAAGCAAATACCCAAAAGTTCGTGTATGTTAGCAAGGGTGTTCCCTATGGGGGCAGACAAAAGAAGTCGCTGTCTCGCGGAAACTACAAAACAGGAAAACTGTGTGCAGTTTGGCCCTTTCCAGTTCAATGTCCCTGCTGAAAGTAATATCGTTATCGTCTACTCTTGACCAAAGCCCATAGTTTCCTCAACCGCGATGGTAAGCTTTTGTTGAAGCATTTCTAGACTCTTGTAAGGAGGCAAGTCAAGTCGATTGAAACTGTTGATGAGTCAGTGATTTGTTCTCAGAGTCAATTGTCATAATCAACTTACCATGTGTGCGCCTTTGGCAGATTTGTGATTTCTCCAGCCTTCTCAATTGTAAATCGTCGTGGGCCGTCGCTACCTTGGAGATCCTTGAAGCCATTGACTGGGATTCGAGAAGTACCTGTAGTAAATTGGAGTAAACGGGACTTCTGCTCGCCATCCCATGAGCGTACTGTTGCCCAGAAATTCTGCACGACCTCGTCGGATTCGGTATATCCTCGATAATCGGTGTGCTTCTTCCAGTCGTCGACATCAATTTCGGCAATACCTCCAATCAAAAGCTCCAGCTCGCGCTCATCGAAGACATTAATAAGGTCCTGAGGGATAAGCTCTTGGAACCCTTCCTTGAAAGCTTGGAACTGCTCGGCGATACGTTTCTCGATGCGCCACTTGACCATGAGATCAACGTATTCTTTCTTGTTCTCATTGGTGACATCAATATTGCGGCCATCAGGGATGAGATCCTCGGTAGTCATCACTCCAAATCTCTCGTCTTCGGTCGAGAAAGTCTGCTCAAGAATCCCGCCTGATATATCGTTGTCCAGCATCCACTGCAATGATCGGTGGAAATCGGCGTCCACACCCTCCATATCGGCCAAAGCTACCGCCTTGCCAAGCATCATCTTGTATAAAGCGCCAATAAAGAAGGCGTCCAAAAATCGCCTGTGGAAGATAGCCAAGCCGACAACACGGCCGATGAACTTGAAATAGTTGAGATGCTCCGGGTTGATGCCGGAATGTGGGTTAATCTGAAGAGTGTAATTATCGTGGGCGGAGTATTCGAATAGACAATAGAAGGGGTTGAACATTTCATGGGAGAGAAGGAAAAAGAATTCTCGAGAGAGACCACCGTAATCCAAACCATCTTCGCCATCGAACTTGATCATAAGTCGTTTCTTCAAATCCGTTGCTGACTGGCGTGTGATCTCGGCAAAGGAGTCCTCGAAGATGTGAGATCGTCGCACCTTGATGTGGCATTGTCCACTGAGAATCCGCATGGCTGGCTGTGAGCGGAAGTAGATGAGCTTCCGTCTGAAGTCTCGCTTGTACTGAGGAACATTTTGGTCAAGAGACGATGGTAGTCGAGGATCGTCCCAAGTGGTAGTCTTGGTGTTATGATCAACAAAGTATACTCGAGCAGTGTTTGTCAAGCGCATCTCCCAACCACTAGGCAGAGGACCAAGTTGTGATACGGGTTGCTGCTGAATCTGGCCGTTCGCATTATTCTGACCGCCATACATGCGGATGTATTGTTGACGACGTGGATCTACCCAGGTCGTTGTTCTTGTATTGTGATCAACAAAGTATGGTCGACCTTCTGGGGTCCACCGTTGCTCCCAGCCAGGTGGGAGTTCTCCCGTACCAGGGCTCGTCGCTCCAGTATGCATCACTGCGCCACCATTAGTAGCTGGTGATGCTGATGGCTGGGGCTGCTGGGCGTGCAGCGTCGGTGAATTGGAGCCGGTTCTTTCTTCGGGCAAAGTGCGGTTCTGATGTCTCTGGCGCTCAACCTGGGTAGCTGCTTCTCGATCGTTTCGCTGTTCCTGGGCGCCAGAAGCAGTGGGTCGATTCCAGCTCGTTGTGCGGGTGTTGTGATCAACGTAGTAAGTACGGCCGAGATTGTCTTCTCGGCGCTCCCAGCCAGCCGGTAGTCGCCCCTGGGCATCCTCAAATGGGCTGAGTTGATTGCTTTGTCGAGTTTGTCCGGAAGCATTCGGTCCTGGAGCGCTGGCACCACCAACAGAGTTGATGCTGGATGGACGATGGGCCAGGTTAACTTGCGAGCCGCCCGCGCCATTTGGTCCAGAAAGTGAAGATCCTGGTCGGTTTTCCGGCGGAGGGGCGGAGAGGTTCGAAGCGTTCGACGGGCCGGTGCCGAGAGATGGTCGTGCGGTCGATGCCTGGCTACCGCGGGCTGGTGCACTGAGATTGCAGGACAGGTTAATAATAAGTTTACCGTGGACGACGAGGTTATCGGTTGATTTTTTGAGGTCTCGAGTAAGCATCTGGTCTGAAGCGCATGTCAGAAAGCTCATTCACGTTTTCTGTTATGGGATCAAGTAAACTGACCATCGGCATCTGGGCTCAGCTCAGGGATGACATCTCCAACGCGAATGTTTATGACACCTAGGAAACCCTGGTCCTTCTTCTTAAACTTCTTTTGGTCGAAAACCTGAACTGCAAGAATGCCATCTTCGTTGGTACGACTGATAATCTCGAGTTGGTTAAATTCTTTGTCTAAAGCGGCGGGGTACATTACAAGTCAAAGCTCTCGTTCCAGTATGGGTTTAGAGTTCTTTTGCTGACAGTCGTCGTTTTGGTTTGCTCCCCATTGATGGTCGCAACAGCGAAAGGGTCAGGAAAGCCTGATTCAAGTTAGCGAATAGGCCGAGCGAAGTTTCGGATTCTACTACGTACGGAAAACATCCCTCTTGTACAGGCCATCGGCGGCGATAACTTGAATGATGTCAATATGTCAAGTCGAACGGTGGGGTAGATTGATTAGCTGTAACTCACTGGTAACCCGAAGGTTGGGCCTGCTACAAGGAGCATTAGTACGTTGACCGTAGTAGCAGTGAAGAGGGAAATGGGTAATGGTCAGATTCAAGGTGAAGCTGGACGCGATGCGATGGACGAAAGGCTGGGAATGGACTTACTTAGAATCGGTGCGACTGGTCATGGTGTCACCTCTTGCGCAGCGCAGCGAGGGACTAAGTCACAGCGACGACAATGATAATAATCGATATTTCCGAGGTGAAAAGGTAGGAATAGGTTTGGGGCCAGACAAATGCAATGAAGCCTTGTCGTGGAAGGCGTTCGCGGAACGTGATCAGTGGAGGTTGACGGGTTCACTGAAGAAAGTTGACGACGCTTGGTTTGGGGCAATGGGGGGAGGTTGAGGCTGTGCACGGGCGGCCCAAAGACCCAAGACTGGGAGGCTAAGGCCAAGACACGGACTCCCCGCTTCCAGAGCGAGAACGACAGCGGCCGGAACGGGAAAATCCAGGGTAGGAGTAGTGATCCTGAGGCTGTTGAGAGAAGCACTGCAAGGTTAACCACGTTGCTGTAATGGAGTTGGTAATGTTCGTGAATTAGTAACGATAAACGGTGACAGAGAAATTGACTGATCGCTGCGAACTCTTTTGTGTGGGTTCAGTCTCAATACTCTCTGTCTCGTGGTTAGCGTTGATGGTGCTAGAAGGATAATCAATCGTCCCGACCTGGCGTGGGTAACCTTGGAGCCTTGTAACTCGAGTACGGTTTCATGGGCTGGGGTACAGTCGGTGGGGGTACTCTCCTGATACCTTCGTTCATAGTCCTGCCAACTTGTTTATACAGCTGCTGTGTGCGGTAATCGTGCTACTCAAAGTCCATGCAAATGTAGAATACTACGGCCATACTTAAATCTAGCAGTTTATTAGACACTCCACCAAGCAAACGCAACAAAAGGCAGCTCCCCAAGTGCCCATATTACCAAGATTGGCGGAACCCTCCCAATGGGACGTACTCCATCAGCCAGGAAACAAGAAAGCCTCAATCCTCAAGATAGGGTGCTAAAATTAACCCATCATAATTCCTCATACGCTTTTACTAAGCTTACTGATATACTCTTGTCTCTTAGAATCAAGTCCCCGTGTTTTCTTTCATCCTTGACTAGCCCGTGCTCTTTAATCAACCCTGTATTGTGTATCCGGGCCTTTTAGTGGGCTGCAATGGAGGCCTACAGCTAGACGGCACATTATTACCTTGTGTTAGTGGCTTAAAGTAACCAAGAGAGGTTCTTTTGCCTCCGCTCCTTTGAACCTTTCCTATGAAACCCGCGATCAGAGATGACCGTTCCAGAATCGACATGTGTACTTTGTTCGAAGGTATCTAATCGGTATTGCCTAAATATTGATCTCTCGCACGTTCTAGTCACTTTGCTAGGCTGAGCAATCATTTCAAAGGTGTTCAAGAGCTCCGGAATTTTGTTGCCACTTTGGCTGAGAAATTGTCAAATAATGCTTATGACATCGGCCTTCCTGGGCTGCGGAATCCACGGCTGCGCTTTACGACGTATTTCATACAACCTCGGCAGTAAACAAAGCGACAGTGCCGCTATGGAATCATAATCTCAGTCACCTGTAGGGGTTTGTAAATGGATGTTCTGAGCCTAATTACGGCGTACGGCTTACCGGCACAGCTTTCGTCAGGCATCGGGCGCTTAAGCAGGGTTGGGATGCCTTGCAGCTACGTCGCTGAGTTTGATGCTTGTGCTTCAAGACTGGAAACATGGGAATCAAAAGTCTGCATTTATCAGGACACAATTTGAAACATGCCCCATACACGCATATGCTATAGGATTCAAGATGTGCCTTTATAAATTTCTCCTTTTCTAGATCCGCCCAATCTTACCATTCAGCCGTAACTTAGTAGTTACATTACTTGATCCAGGTGTTTACAGTATTTGCACCTCTGTGGCTGGGCAACTGCTGAGCCACTGGCAAAGCGTCAATGACACCCTTGTTGATTGCGTTGACAACACATATCCTAAACAGCATCTATAAGTTGGAGTCGTCGAGAATGACGACTCATATCCTACCTAGTTAGGGGATGAAAGAAAACACAGGACCTCGATCCTAAATGGTAAGAAGACTTAGGGTAATATAGCCTAAGTTTAGGATGACTTTTGCTAAGTTTATTTTGACACCCTACGGTAAGGTTTGCTGTTTTCTTGCCCCCTAAGGCCTACCTAGCCATGCTAGTATGGGTTTACAATACCAAATTAGGTGGCTGAGCAAGAATATCAGACCTAAGCCTTACTAAAAAACAGATTTAACTACATACATATTAAATAAAACGCCTGTTGCACTACACGATAGTGTGACTACATGCCAAGAGAGCATAAAGTTCGAGCTCTAGGGTAACCGGTGTGATGTTATGGATTGCCCAACGTATTAGCTTATTTAGCTTGGGATCTTCAGTGAGATGTCAGATCTTCCTTTCCATTATGCACCCTGACACTAGATTTGTCCTATTGCAATCACGTATCATTCCCGCCAAATACCCAAACCCTGGCACGAACCGATGTGGGGTGGTACCACGCGGGCGGCCTCACACGCATATGAAGCTCTAAGAGGAACGCGTGGCAACATGTCACTACTCTAAGCCTCCTACGAACCAACATAATCGAAGCTACTTGTAGAATCGGCACCCTAGCTCAGTTACACCTAAAATAGCTGATTAGATTGCGTTCTCGCCCCGAAACATTTCAGGAAGTTCGCACTGAGTTAATGAGAGGAACAGACATTGATGGATTACTGTGATTTTGCTAAGACGAAAGAAACGTCAATACCGGAACTCCTATCCCTCCCCTCGGTGTTCTTGGCTATCTGTGTGTTTTCCTGTTCCCGGATAATCGATAGTATTACACTGTTCCTTCTCTGCTAGTAAAGCACCCTTCTCCTTATTACCATAACCCTAGATTCAAGGAAAAAATGGATGGAAACTGTTCCATCACAGGCCAACATATCCATGCGCGTAGGGGTTGTTTTCAAGCCCGTGAGATTCCTCAACTTCGATCTCGAAAGGCCTAGGTTGCTCAGATCGTCGACCATGTCCCAAGGGCAAAGTGCCTCCCTGCTCCTAGTAGGGGGCGAAACCTCGTCCGCGACCACGGTAGCCACCGCGATAGCCACCACCGCGAGGGAAGCTGCCTCGGCCATGAAAGCCTCGGCCACCACGGAACCCACCGCGACCACGTCCACGGCTCATGCCAGGGACATTGGTGCGCTTAGGGGTCACCTTGATGTTGCGGCCCTTGAAGACACTCTCGTTGAGGACAAGAGCCTGGGCGACCAAGCTCGGCTCAGTGAACTCGACGTAGGCGTAGCTACAGAGCGATATGTTAGCAATGCTCAAAAAGCTCCCGTGTGCCAACATACCCCTTCGGTTGACCTGTGAACTTGTCAAGAAGAATGGTCACTCGGTTGATGGAGCCGCAGCTCTGGAAGTGACTCTGGATATCTTCAGGCGAGGCTGAATAATCGACGTTGCCAACAAAGATACTGCGTGCATCGATGGATTCCTTGTCATCCGCAAGGTCCGCAGATTGCTGCTCCAGAGTTGCTTGCATCTCGCGAAGCTTCTTGGCCTCCTCTTCCATCTCTGCCACGCGGCGCTTCATGGCAGTGATTTCTTCCTAAGGGTGTGGCGTCAGTTTCCTTCTTAAATCCACCTCTTTGCGCGCCTAACACACCTCCTCAGCCCCTGACATTTCAGTTCCTTGCTCATGTTCATTGTCGTGCTCGCGGTCATGATCGATCTCGTGCTCGCCCGTAGGCTTCTCGTCTTGCTTGCCAGAATCCGACATGTTGACTAGTTTGAAGGAAAGCTAGTAGTCTCTTGCGCGTGCGATACTCCTACGTGAATCAGTGTTAGTAAAAGGTTGGGTGGCTGCTGAGATAAGAGAATGAACAAGGCACAATCGTTCAAAACAGTCTTGACATCATTGTATGAAGGGGCAGAATAGTGCAACGATGGATTCCAGAAAGAAGAAGACGAAGAAATATTTACCTTTGTGGAACAAATCTTTCGCGATGCAAGTGGAAGAAGAGAAGTAACAAAAAAGGTATAAAAAAGAAAAGCGCGAAGAGGTTCAAAAGTTCGCGAACGACAAAAATGCACGATTAATGAGGTCAAGGCCGGGGTACGCAGCTACTAACTGTAGGTACCTTTCATCTAGCGCCTGTTCCGAGTCTCGGGCTGCATGAAAGTTCCCTGCAAGCCAGTCCAAAACCAAGCTCTGGTGTTCCTTTGATAAGTTTCGGACCGAAGATAACCCGGCAAAAGAGACGACAATACCTTAGGATTCTACATGTGATTAGGTTAGTAATAGGTACGAAAATCTAGCTGTTTCTCTCTCATCGAATCCAGGAAGTTATAGGGGCTTTCCCATGCCATGATAGAATGACAATTCACATACAGCCATACAAGAAGTTTCGTTGGTTCAGAAGGAAGAGTTAGAGAATCATCATCATCAAATTTATCGTGTTATGAAAAATGTGGCAATCGCCAGACACAAAATGAAAACCAGACACCCCCAAATGCAATCGTTACGTCCTCCAAACGCCGCCCATGCTCTTCGCTAGTCAATGCGTCCGTCTGTAAACATGCCTCGTTCCATCCCATCCATCTAGTACCCAGTGCTCCGAGACAAATATGCTTCATGTTGTGTGTAGAGATAAAGGAAAGGTGATGATCTCGCTGGATAATCAAGCATGTCGGCCACGCTTCCCTCCCTTTTCGAAAGGATCCTTTCCGCTTAGACTGCCGAGATCGAATATTTCCTCAAAGTTCAACTTGCGCTTGCTACCAGCCCGCTGTACCAAATGTCCCGGACCCCTTGGGCAAGACCGACTCGGACCACCCGCAAGCCTAGTTTTCGTTGGTCGTGTGGGAGCAGGCACATCATCGTGAGGTCTTGAGTCAGACAGGTCCAGAGTAGCGATATTCGGGTACGGGTGTGATGACTGGAAGGTGAAGTTGTCTTGAGAAGGGACGACTATCGGTGTAGGCTGCTCGACAACAGGAGGAATACTTGGTGGTGCGGAGTCGGTTCGCACTTGGTTCGCAGGATGAGGAGGGATAACCGTTCGAGTGAGTTCAGGTGACGAGGCTGTTTCAGCTTTGTCGACCTCGTCCTCACTCTCCGTGTTCAGAGAGCTGCTTTCACGCCCATCGAGTCTTTCTGTGGCCCATTTCCGGATCTTCCACCCTTCTCCATCACCCAGACCCATGCCCTCTTTATCCAAGAATTGTAAAAGGTCATCGAGGCAATCCTGATATCCATCGGCACGTGCCTTTGACTGTCCTGCAGCCGAGATCTTGTAGAGCTTGGTCACCGACAGGGCGGCTGCCTTGAAGACATCGAGGAGTTGTTCAGGGCTTTCTTGTTGAGCAGGCTGCTTGCCCATGCTACCAGAGACGCCCCTCATAGGCTCCATCGTGATTAAGCGACGAAGAGATGCGGGAAACTGGAAATGAAGAGTCAGATATGTTTGAACACGTCAAGGGGGAAATCGCCTCACTTGATAGTCAGAGGGAAGTAGTATTGGTATCAGAAGAGGCTCCTAGATCGGAGAGAAAATGCTATGTATTCGCGGTACACCAGAGTCAGACAAGCTGGGTATGTTGCTCCTGAAGAGCTATGATCTCAAAGACAGTTGGGCAAGGTAAAGGTTAGGGTCACGAAGCGTTTGCCCAGGTCATCCACTCGAACGGAGCATGGGCAGAGCCTGATGGACGGCACTAACCGAGGGGTCGGTACCTGTAGATGTGGGGGGGGATTTCAGCCACGTGACCTGATACAACTATCAGAATTGCTTTCCAGCAACTCGCCAGAATCTCTTTCAATGGCGTACTTGTACGAGTATATAAGATAAGATCAACTTAGAATAATCAACCTGGGTGTTTTCAGATTTACAGCGACTTCGTCACACAAGATCAGTAAGACAAAGTGACGTCGTTAAAAGCATCGGAATATCCTTTCTTCCCTTGCAGCATCGTGGGGCCCAATGCCATTTACAAGGGTCTATGCACGCCGCTAGCCCAGATTGGCCCCCTTCGAGGTGACCGTTTAGATTCTACCGGCCAACACCTTCTCAACAGCATTCACACTTTCTTTTCCAATCTTTCAAGCGACGTAACTGTGTTGAATACACCACATACCCCTCAAAATACACTCAAAATACGCGATAACAGCCAACAGACTACTTGAATTGACTTGTGGTTCACATTGCAAGCTATCGAAACGCGTCTTCTGGACGCCAGTCGCGTAAAGAGGTTTATCCTAATCTCGACTCACAATGGCACCTCGCTCTCGAGCCAAAGCTGTCGATACTGACGCGTCTATGTCTGACGCGCAGGAGCATCGGCAAGAAGAAGAGATGGTGAGTTCCCATATTCACAAAATTTTGTTCGTTTGTGGGTGAGAACTTGTGCTGACGGGTTGTTAAGGAAGTTGACGAGACTCCCGACTACACCGATACCGAGAACCCTAGCACTACTGCTAGCAGCGTCGCCGGAGAGCCTACTGGGGATGGCCGTAGGCGCCGCACAGAAGTTAACCAACTTCGTCGTAGCATTTTCGGAAAGAAGCACGATCGGTTGGGCGAATCCAAGGTATGTCGCACTCCAAGAGGAGGGTATGATGCGAAACGATCTAATCGAACCTCTAGGAAGATGACACTATTCGTCGATTTCGATACCTCCTCGGCCTGACCGATCTCTTCCGCCATTTCATTGAAACAAACCCCGACCCCAAGATTCGCGATATCATGACCGAAATCGATCGACAGAATGCTGAATCTGCGCGGGGCAAGAAGGGCGCCGGAAGGCAAGGGGGCGCCACGAGCGAGCGACGTCGACGTACCGAAGCTGAAGAAGACGCCGAACTCTTGAAAGATGAGAAGCACGGCGGCTCCGCTGAGACGGTCTTCCGAGAATCGCCTCCGTTCATCCATGGCACTATGCGAGACTATCAGGTTGCCGGCCTCAATTGGCTGATTTCCCTGCACGAGAATGGTATTTCGGGTATTCTTGCCGATGAAATGGGTCTTGGAAAAACGCTGCAAACTATTTCATTTCTTGGCTACCTGCGACACATCCTTGACATTACTGGACCACACTTGGTCATTGTGCCCAAGTCCACACTAGATAACTGGAAGCGAGAGTTTGCCAAATGGACACCCGAGGTCGATGTTTTGGTGCTTCAGGGTGCCAAAGATGAACGACAGACCCTTATCAACGATCGGCTTGTTGACGAAAAGTTTGATGTTTGCATTACCAGCTACGAAATGGTGCTTCGAGAGAAAGCGCATTTGAAGAAATTTGCTTGGGAATACATCATCATCGACGAAGTATGTAATTTTGAAACAATTGAGAGTTTCATCAGCTAACAATTATCCAGGCGCATCGTATCAAGAACGAAGAATCATCGCTGTCACAGGTTATCCGATTATTCTCCTCCAGAAACCGATTACTTATCACGGGCACACCTTTACAAAACAACCTGCACGAACTCTGGGCCCTTCTGAATTTCTTGCTTCCCGATGTTTTCGGCGACTCTGAAGCATTCGATCAGTGGTTCTCTGGTCAAGACCGCGATCAAGACACGGTCGTACAACAACTACACAAAGTCCTCCGCCCCTTCTTACTGCGCCGCGTGAAGAGCGACGTGGAGAAGAGCCTGTTACCCAAGAAAGAGGTCAATGTTTATCTTGGCATGTCTGAGATGCAGATTAAATGGTACCAGAAGATTCTGGAGAAAGATATTGATGCTGTTAACGGCGCCGGTGGCAAACGAGAGTCAAAGACGCGACTACTCAATATCGTGATGCAGCTTCGAAAATGCTGTAACCACCCCTATCTGTTCGAAGGCGCCGAGCCAGGACCCCCTTACACAACCGATGAGCATTTGATTTACAACGCTGGCAAGATGGCAGTCCTTGACAAGCTCCTCAAGCGGCTCCAGAAGCAGGGAAGCCGCGTTCTCATCTTCTCTCAAATGAGCCGATTATTGGATATTCTCGAAGACTATTGTGTCTTCCGAGAGTACAAATATTGTCGAATCGATGGTGGCACAGCACATGAAGATCGAATTGCTGCCATTGACGAATACAACAAACCTGGCTCGGAGAAATTTGTCTTCCTCCTTACAACGCGTGCCGGTGGTCTGGGCATTAACTTGACAACTGCCGACATTGTTATTCTCTATGACAGTGATTGGAATCCTCAAGCTGATCTTCAGGCCATGGATCGAGCCCATCGTATTGGTCAGACTAAGCAGGTTGTTGTATACAGATTTGTCACAGACAACGCCATCGAAGAAAAGGTTTTGGAGAGAGCTGCCCAGAAGCTACGATTAGACCAACTGGTTATCCAACAAGGCCGTGCCCAACAAGCCGCTAAAGCTGCAGCCAATAAGGATGAGCTTCTTTCCATGATCCAGCACGGTGCTGAGAAGGTCTTTCAGTCCAAGGGACCTACCGGCAATATGGCCTCCAAGGACGGCGAAGTCGGTGATGACGATATCGACGAGATCCTTGCAAAGGGCGAAAACCGAACAAAGGAGCTGAACGCAAAATATGAGAAGCTGGGAATCGACGATTTGCAAAAGTTCACCTCGGAGTCTGCTTACGAATGGAATGGTGAGAACTTTGCCAACACAAAGAAGAACATCAACATGACCTGGATCAACCCGGCCAAGCGAGAGCGAAAGGAACAGTCATACTCGATGGATAAGTACTTCCGACAAACTATGTATCCCAATCCCAAGGCCGATGCTAAGCCAAAGGCACCCCGAGCACCAAAGCAAGTTCCCGTTCATGACTACCAATTTTACCCCCCACGCCTGCGAGATCTCCAAGATAGGGAGACTGCTTACTATCGGAAGGAAATTGGGTATAAGGTCCCTCTACCAGACGGTGAAGAAGAAAATCTTGAAGAGCGAGAGGCCGAAAGAGCCCTTGACCAGCAGGAGATCGACAATGCTACGCCTTTGACTGAGGAAGAGAGGGAGGAAAAAGAGAAGTTGTCGCTACAAGGTTTTGGAGACTGGAACAAACGGGACTTTCAACAGTTTGTCAACGGATCAGGCAAATACGGACGAACTGACTACGAAGGCATCTCCAACGAGATTGACAGCAAGTCAGCCCCAGAAATCAAGGCTTATGCAAAGGTCTTTTGGCAACGCTATACTGAGATCGCCGACTACTCCAAATACATCAAGACTATCGAAGATGGCGAGGAGCGGACTCGCCGTATTGGCCACCATCAAAAGCTTCTCAGAAAGAAGATGCAACAGTATCGAGTCCCTCTGCAGCAGCTCAAGATCAACTATTCTGTGTCGACTACAAACAAGAAGGTTTACACTGAAGAAGAGGACCGATTCCTTTTGGTTCTGCTTGATCGATACGGCATTGATTCGGAAGGTCTTTACGAAAAGATGCGAGACGACATTAGAGAATCACCTCTGTTCCGATTTGACTGGTTCTTTCTCAGTCGAACACCAATTGAGCTGTCTCGTCGATGCACTACTTTGATCACTACTATTGTTAAAGAGTTCGAAGACGTCCCTGCTCGTGGCTCAAACGGAGTGAACGGAAAATCCAAGCGAGAGCCTGATGATGAGAATGACGAAGATAGCATTCTTGGTATGGCGCCCGCAAAGAAGAAGGCCAAAAACGGCGTCAAGGTGAGTCAATAACTAATCTCGTGCATTGTCTATGACTAACATGTTTTGCAGAACAAGGCACTTGATAATGTCAAGTCCGTCAAGTCTAGCAAGAACAGCTCCGCCACTCCATCAAGAGCATCTAGTGTCGCCTCTACCGTATCCGCAGGAGGTTCTGCCAAGGGCAAGAAGGGTAAAAAGAAGTGAGGGAATATGGAATTGCCTTTAGTACGCTGGGTGGGCAAAGGGATAGACTTTTTGGCGTTTGGTTGCTTTGAGGACTTATATGAGAAGCCAATGTGTACGTATTTGCTTAATCTCGCATGGCTGTTTGTACCAGGGGCCAGAAAATGCATCACACGATGCCTCGACAGGTGGGAATACAGGCGTGAGAATGGCTGATAGTACAATGAAGAAAGTTACTTGAGCAGAAGAACCATCTGACTGATTGTCTGCTTGATATCTTCAACTTGACGTGTTGTGAAGTAGCGACTATGATGTTCGTGACTGCATGGTCATAAGGATATCCAAAGTCGTAGAAACGTGATCAATCGTGCATCTCGACCTTTCCTTAAACCCTGGAGAGATGGTAAGAATTACAAGCCCATTTGTCAACCTCTTATCTCCCCTTACACACCCAATTCTTTTTTTCCATCACGTCCAGCTCCCGTTTATTTTTTGCCCCATTTGAACAAAAACATTTATTTGTTTGTCCCCCAAACGCCGTACTATGCAAGCACACAGGAAAAGAACGCATCTACTGCATTCGGT